CTTTCTTTACATTTTTTAATCACAATTGTCTATTTTTTGCTCATTTTAAATATATTTTAACAATTTTCTAAATTCTTTTTTATATTTTTACATTTTTTGTTTTTGTGAAGCGCCTCGTGATTTTTCTCTTGAGAGGCGCTATAGAAATGATATTTTCTTCTTCTTCTTCTTATAGAAAGGAAACTCTGCTATACCAAAATGGCTGAACACATCTCAAGATGAGTCATCCACAGATGAGGGGATGAAAGCCTGCCAGTTATTTTTTTCACGTCAGCAGCAACACAAAGATGACAAATCATGGATACGCAACCACAAAAATACCACAATATGGAGGCAAGTACTGATGATACGACCCCATCAGGTTGTTTATTCACTTAAATGGAAGCAAGCTGAAAGAAAGGTCTTGGAGCTGAACATATGGAGCATTTTCTACTTTACGTTGCCCATCTGACCATTGACCATTGTTTAAATCATGTCGTATAAGCAGGTGTTGCCACACAGTCCAAGGGCTACATACCCAGATGTGTTGCTCCACTCCAGGTGTGATGATGCTATGACGCTTCGGCATCAACAGAAAACAACTGTGATCAATTCAAAGTCCCAGGACTTGTCTTCTCTTCTCTTTATACTTCCACTTTGCCTCAGCCTCCAGCATAAACACACACTGTGCACGCCTGGCACGTGTGTCCATTGTTTTAAGGCCCAGTCTGAGGTCAGACAGCTCACTTCAGTGAAAAAGTGACCAATTTGCCTGAGAATGCAAATTGCAGCTGTACCCTCGCTGGCAAAATGCAAGCATGTGTACGCGTTTCCTTAAAGGGACAAATTGACAAATCTGTGTGCAGCCTCCCTCCACCGTCCCTGATTTCACTGATTAATCAAGTGAATAAAAACTAGGTCTTAATTAAAAGGAGCTGGACGTGCTCCCAGCTCAGGAACTGGCAGAACCCCACCGCACCGCTCCTCAGCCCCAGCAAACAAACTCCCAGACTAAATCACCGCAACATAAAGGGGAAATAACTCACTGTAATGAGGGGATTTAGCAATAATAACAACTGACATAAGTTGTCAAAATGAAGACAAACAAGAATGAATGAACATAATGTAATCTCATAAACAGGAACATAACTCTGTGGCATAAAAAGTAAACTCTAAAAAACAAACAGAAACCTCCGACTGTGCCCTTGACTTGATGCCATCTACCTCAGCGCCGGTGCTTTCATTTTCTTAAGTAACACTGAGTAAGTGACCTCAAAACTTCTGAATTATGACACTAGGAAAATTATGAATACATATAGACCAACCATTAATATGAAGAGTGGTGGGCTAAACATTAATCATCAGAATTTTAACCTCCAACTCCTCCTGCTTTAAGCCATTTCAGTAGAACAGTAAGAAATCGGGCTTTGGTACACGAGGTGACATGCGTTCAAACCAGGAGTTAGACTGTTCCAATAACTGAAGAACAAATAAATATTTCTCAACCATATTCCCGTTCATCTACTGGCCCAAAGCTAATCATCAGTTCTGAGTGGAGCCATGCTGGCAATGTTATTACTGATATTTACCTAAAACATCACATTTTTAAATAAAAAGGCATCATATTTACAAAGTCACAACCAATTGTCTACCACACAGACTTCAATTAAAGTCCCATTAAAGTTGAGTCTGAAAGGGGGATGAACTAAAGGAGTCAGTCAGGGGCATTTATTGATGGCGCCCTCGCATCTCGTTCCTGCATTAAGTTGATTTTAAAAGCAATTAATACACACAGTCAGGGAGAAGTAATGGAGCGGCCCCATGTTCTTAACCTGCTGGACATCCCAGCCGACGCCCTGACCGATGCAGCCCTGCTTTGCATTATAAATGACAAGATAAATCAAGATAAATCCTAATGATAATCAGCTAACCACGAAGGCTGACATATACTCACGTTCACCAAGCACACACACACACACACACACACACACACACACACACACACACACACACACACACACACACACACACACACACACACACACACACACACACACACACACACACACACACACACACACCAGGGAAATTAAAGGCTTTGAATATGTCTGCATTGATTATTTTAAATTATTAGCCCACCTCTCTTTGGACCTCCAATGCTTTTAGCCTAAGCTTTAACACATTTACAGAGACTTATTGACTATAATTACAACTGAGTCTTGGTAATGGACACATCAATTATGAGTCGCACATGTCTCTGACCAAGCGTTGCTCAGGAAATCCCAATCTGGGGTCCATTAGCGTCTCTCCTGTTGGTTTGAAGCTCAATCAGTCTTTACCTTCACCTCTACAGAAAGAGCTATTACCTGGCTGAAGGAGATAGTAGCCTTAACAATGGACCAAGCTGCCATGGAACAGGCTGCTTCTCCCCATCTAATGCTGGGGAACCCAAACAACAAAGACCCTGATAGCTAAACAGCCACAAAGGGGGAAAACTAACACGTGTTGTCCTCAAAAGTCTGAGACTTTCAGCTAAGCACATCTGAACCATTTACAGTTTCACCAAAGACACAGAATCCCTTGAAAAATTCCCAAATTACCCACTGGCCTCCAGACAGAGTTTGAGCCTTAGATAAAATCCACTTGGGAATTGATGGAGTTGTAACTATTTTGGTGAAATAACAATATGCAGAACTCTTGTAGTATTTTTTCACAATCTGTCAGCAGCACCAGAAGAATTTGATGAACAACTCAGAACTACTACTACACCAATAAACTATGAAACTGACTGAATCATCCCAATTCATGCTTCATCACCAACCAGGGATGCCTAGATCATCCTCTCCCCAACAACCTCCAACAGCTCCTCTGATGGGACCACAAAGTGTTCAAAGGCTAACGGAGACTCCTAATCCCTCCCCCATGTCCTGGGTTAACCTTTTTGCCATTGTTACCATCAATCACTAATAGCTGCCATCTTGACTTCTATTGATTTCAAAAATTAAAGGGATACAAGGCAGTGTTGGCATGCTTTTAGTGCCCTCTAGTGTCCGTTTAGTGAAACTAAAAGTGAAACATATCTCCTTGCTGTGTGTTTGTCTTTTTAACACCTTCATCTAACAGCTGAAATGTCTCCTCAGCCTTCATTAGTGTCTACAGGAGTGATGCATCAGTAAATTAAACTAATCAGCTGTGTTCATTATCCATGTCCAATGGAGGCGGCCTGCCACTCTGAAGTTGCAAGTGCAATATTCTGGCCACGGGGGGTGGGGGTGTTTGAGTAACATTTCAATAACCCTGTAAGGGGTCGTTTCAGGACATACTGTCTCCAGAAAATGATTTGAAAATATAAAAATAAATTGCATTGCATGCCTTTAATCAGTAGTTGATGTTCATAAAATAATTACTACCTAGTTTAATTAAAAAGGTCCTTAACGCATATTTTTTATGCATTTGCAGCGGTTTCTAGTAGGAATGAATACCTTGTAAGTCGTACTCTGAAGAAAAAGGCTTTGGTGCACCCGTGTCAGCACAAAGAATTCAGTTAGAGGAGAAAGTAGCTTTAGACGGCAGAATTTGGACTATTATTTCCTGATATTTGGACATTTTGCCTGTGATTGGCTAACAGCAACACGACTTTACCATTGATTCTGTTTGCTTTGCAGTGTTGGTAAATGGCCTGTATTTGATATAGTGCCTTCTAGAGTCCTGGGACCCCCCAAAGTACTTTACAACACAATCAGTCATTCACCCATTTACACACACATTCACGTTGATGTTTTTATCTCTGCAAATTGCACAAGCCTGAAGGAGTTCTGCTGTGTGGTGGAGTTGCTAATGCTAATGGCTAGCTTCTACTAGTGGAGACGTTCTCTGCTGTTTCCTAGACGTTGAACAAACAGCCTTCCCCGTCGCAAGTCAAACTGGGTGAGTCCTTGAGTGTTGAGTGACAGTGTGACAGAGATCTACAGGTTTTTCAAATCCTAGCGTTTCATCTATTTTCTATCAGAAGCTAATGCAGGAGATAAGTGTAGGAGACTATTTTACCTTACAGCCTGCATGAAAAACTGAAAGTGGCCGATCATTTTCAAATATATTAAGTGAAAAACGGTTTCTCAGTGACCCCTTTAAAATCCCACTCTAGTGGTTGAAGATAACAGTTGGATATTTGAAACAAAAGCTCTTGAGTCAGCGTTCAACGTTTCTTGGGAATAACTCTCAGGAACTGCAACACCAATTATTATTACAACTATTACCACATCTGTAAAACGGAATGAGTTTCAGCAACGTTTGTGTTTCCTAAGCTCATTTGGCTGCATCAGCTGAGATCTGGGGTGGGACACTCCGATCCTTGAAGGCTGCAACCAGCATGTTTTATTTGTTTCCCTGTTCCAACAAACTTCATTAAATGGATGAATCACCTGTTCAGGTAGTCAAGCCATGTAGAAGCATTTTAATTACCTGCTGATTAAAAGCAGGTGTGTTAAACCAGGGCAACAACTAAAACATGCTGGATAGAGGCCCCTGAGGACCAGGATTGCCCACACCTGGCCTAGATTGTTGACTCCAAAGGCTGATCAGTGGAAGAGCTATGTGTAATGCTTACTTTCTGAGAGACTTGTACAGGCCTGGCAAGTAATGATAACTTAAGAAACTGTTGCTTTCTAAATTTGTAAAAGTACAAGAATTTATACTTTTAACGTTTTCCAATCCAAACCATATTTTCAGACGGGTGGTTTTAAGTGTAACATTTGGCTTACTGCACTAAAACTTTAAATGTTTACAAGTAAAGAAGATGCATACGTTATTTAGATATACAACAATTAAACTCTCCCTAATATTGTACATTTAACTAGCTCTTGGTGGCCAGTAAGCCCACCTTTAATTTAATTTATACATAAAATACAGGATATGGTGCTGCCTTTTTCAGTGAGTGCGGTCTACATGAATGTGCCACCAGTGCAGAAGGCAGCAGAGACAAAGAGACAGAGTTAGTGAGTGTACAGAGGTGAATTACATACCAGTGTGTGTACGAATGTGTGCCAGGAAGGCCATGGAGTTGCTGCTCCTGCACACCTTGCCACAGTATTTGCACACACTGCCTTGATTCTCCTCTCGCTCGCGGTTGATCTGCTCCGTGTCCTCCAGCACATATGTGTCAACCTCCTTCAGGAGCTCCTCGTGTTTCTCCTTGATGTGAAAAAACAAGCCCTGCTCCGTTTCAAAACGGTCTCTGCATTTCACACATCTGAAGTTGGCGCCCCCTTCTGGCAGCTCCTCCACGCTGTTCTGCTCGTTGCGTAGATGGGCAGCGCTGGTCAGGTGCTGGTGCAGGTTGCTTTCCGTGTAGAAGGACTTGCCACACAGCAGACAGTGGAAGTGCCTGTCTTTCGTGGGGTGCTTCATCGAGATGTGGACATTGAGGCCACTAACGCCATCCGCCATGAAGCCACAGTCCTCACAGCGTGTGTTAGCGCTACTTCCTTTGGCATACTCCCTCTCCTTCACTTCCTTGGGTTTGACTTTTTTTACATACGGAGAGATGGTGGATGGCAGGCAAGATGATAACCCTCCAGTCAAGCAGATCACAGAGGCCTCTCCTTCCAGAGCCAGACTTTCATGCAGTACCTGCTCCTGCTCAGCAAGGGCCTTTGCAGATATGATACAAGCATCAAAGGGAGGAGCTTTAGACATTTGTGTATCTACAATCATCACATCCGCCTTTACAAGCTCATCTCCTGCTTGTTGAGGCCTTTCCTCCTGGGTCTCTTGCTGTGCGGACTCGTGTAAAGCAAGCTGGATATCTCCTGAAGCCTGCTGGGCTTCAGACATCACCGTTAGCTCTGTTGTCTGGCTGGTTGGATCTGGTTCAGTGCCAGAAGACGATGTAATAGTCTTCACTTGATTTTCATCTGCACTGCCAGCAGCACCAACCACAGCACTAACAGGCTCAGTGCTGACAGGGGATGCAGATGTACTTTGTGTTTCTATAACTGGATTGTCAATGGAACAAGAGCCAGACTCATCTGTTGGGTTTGGGTGTTCACAGTCAGGGTTAGAGCTTTCTACAGGAGGGTCATTCTTCTGCTTTTCATTTGAAGGAAACTGAGAAGACTTCTGCTCTTTGCTCTCCTGCAGCTCCAGGTATCTTTGACTTCTCTGCTTGTGCTTCTCTGTACTGGCATGGCGATGCATTTCCCTGTTAGTTACGGAATAGTAGCCGCATGCCAAACACACATACTCAAAGTCTTTGGTGTGTTTTCTCTTGACGTGAAGATGGAGAGAAGGGATTGACTGAGCAACAAAATCACAGAGAGAGCAGGCATTAACCGAATCGTGTTTACTTGTTTGCTGGTGTGTTTCTGACCGAGTCTGCTCTTCTACATTGCATTCCTGGAGCACGATAACATCAGCTTTCTGCATCGTCTCACTGACTAGAGGGACAGTATTCGGTGTGCTTGTGGGTTCACGTGAAGGTGTGCCGGTATCCGAGTTCTTCCTCGAACTTTCTTGTGCTCGTTTTAAATGTTTTTTAGTTAAACTGTGGCGATCCATGTCTCCTTTAGTCACACAGTTGTAGTTACACAAAGTGCAGCTGTAGCCGTATTCTTTGCTGTGTTTGCGCTGAACATGAACGCGGAGGTTGGTAGCACTGGAGACAACCACACCACAATATCCACAGGTAGCAGAACCCCCTAGCTTTGGCCTTCCACGTTTTTTCCTGGGAGGTTCAAACTCCACATCTTCTTCGGTTTTGACAGCCTCTGATGTTTCATCTGCTTCCTGTTCTCCTACTGTTACTGTAGTTATCTCCTTTCCATCGAGCATTTCCACATCGCCCACAGGAGGATCCTCTCCAACACAGTTCCCGCTTATACTCTCAACACACACTTCGAAGGAGAGAACTTCTGATTTGCTATTGTCTGCCTGCTGCTGCAAGTGGCCAACTGATGACAGGTGAGTGTTCATCAACTCAGATGTGGAGGCAAGAAATTTGCATACTTTGCAGCGGTACCACTCTGAGTCGGGGTGTTTGACTCGAGCGTGCTTCTCCAGCACCTCGGTAGAGCTGGCCCTGAAATCGCAGTTTGCACACTTCTTCTGAAACCTGTTGAGAGGACGTTTGGGCGCCACTTGTATTGGTGATGCCTTCACGGTGTTGCTACAGTCTTCAGCATCTTCTGACCCGCTTGTGTTTTCATCAGCGTCCACTGTAAGACATTACAAAGATACAGTTTTACTTCTAAGTCTTTCTGAACAACAAGAATGTAAGGATTTACTAACACAAAAATGATTCGAACTCTAAAACTAAAACAAACCGTTAAGCTGAAGACAGCAATACTACAGTGGATTTTAGTTTTGATGGAAGAAAAGGAAATACTCACATGTAATTGGGACATATTTAGAGTGGTATCTCTGAATGTGGACATCAAGAGGATGCTTGTCCCTAAACTCTTGCCCGCAGCAGTTGCAGGAATAAATAATTTTAGGTTTTGGGATTCGTTTGCTCACTCTTCTCTTTGGGACAGTGACAGAGTCTTCTTGGACTCTCTCCTGTTTTTCACCTACCATCTCTCTTGTGGTTAAACTTGTACTTTCATCTTCACTTGATGCTAATTTCAGTTCATCCAGATCGTGTCTCTTTTGTTTACTACCAGCAGCTTTTTCTGCCATCGTCGTGTCCTCTTGCTGGCTCTCATTTGGCTTCCCGTCATGGATATTTAGATTTTGCTCTGGAGATTTGGGAGTTTTATCAAAGTCTTTGCTATGCTTTCGTGCGTAATGAATTTTCAGGGATCTTGGGTATTTCGCTGAAAAGCCACAGACTGTGCATCGGTTATCCTCCTCTTCAGGTGTAACGTCTGATGATGGCCTCTTGGTGTGTTCTTCATCAGCTCCACACTGAGGGTTCTCCGTGGATTCTACCAGCTCCACATCATCTAGCTTCACTTTTGCAGCATCACTTTCGGGTTTTCTGTCCCCAGCAACCTCCTCTCCTGAAGTCAGACTTGTATCCATCTCATGTCGTGCTATGATGTCTCACCAATGTTGACAGATAACACATAGACTGGATCAAATTCCTGGATGAGAGAAAAAAAAACCTTCATTAATACATCAAGGATTGCTGTCTTCGGTTATATGAAAGACATGATTGTTAAAGTTTGTGTTATTAATTATGGTTTTGGAACCATACAGCTAAACAGCGACAGCCAAAGTCAAAGTAAATGTCGCCATCTTGTGGCTTTAGACACAAACAGCTTATTTGAATAACTGAATTGAAAACTTTAGATGTTAAAATAGAGCAAAAACTGATTCATTATTAAACAAAGCATGATTTACCCCATCAGTCTTTTTTTAATCATTTTAAATCTGTATGTTTACGTTGTCCCCTCAGCAACCCAGGCATCAATTACACTGAGAGCTGCACGGCATTAGACACATTTGTTAAAAAACATTTTCTCAGTCAGAAATTGTACTTGTGCTCTCTTTTTCTAAAATTGAGGATGTTCTCTACTACAATCTGGTTCCAAGTCCTGTTTTCGGCCATTTTAAAATGCATGTCAGTGGAACATTTATGATTAAATTTCCTACCATGATTTCCTTGTAAAGTCCACATGATTATTCACCTGCTTAAGTGCCACCAGCAACAGAAAAATGTAGAACATCTGGTGCATCAGGAGGTTAGGCACAGCAGGAGTGTATTGGTATTAGAGGCTGACCGATGTATTCAATTTAAAAGCCGAAAAACAAATTAAATCAGGCAGCTGCCGCCACTACTAGACTAAAGAAAGGACCCGAAGGAGACCAACACACTGTTTTTTTAATGCTCTGAGTTTGTTTTATATTTGAAGTTCAATAAATATTAAGAGATTTATTGGCTTATTTATTATCGCACACAGTAATTGTTCACTTGTCTTTCACAATCAATGTGCTGCTAAAACATATATCAGCCTTAATAATCGCCTTTAGATAACTGCAACAAAAACTCTTTAAAAATCGGTATCGGCTTTAAAAAAAACATATCGGTTGGCCTCTAATTAGTATTTCTGTTAAAACAACACACTTTAATCCTGGCAGAACGTATAGGTCCTAAAGGATGTGACTGCCCTTTTTTCTAAAAAGATGACCACAATCTGCAATATGTCACTTAGTGATTACGTACAACTTTAACACAAAATATCACCTAAAAATCTCTTTAATAACATTCAGTTCCTGTTTAAAATAGATTTGGTCTCAATCCCATTGCCGGTTTCTTCCTTAACTCCCCTACTGCGTCTAAAAACTAATTTACTTACTTACTTAGTTTCTTTCAGTTTAATCTGCACAGTAAGGCTTGCAATCTCAGATTGAATATATAATTTATCTTACTGTATTCTAGATAAAGTCTTAAAGAGTAAATCCTGATAGCCGCTGGTAAAACTCATGTTATTCTTGCTTGTTAACTGTCTCCTGATTGGCCTCCTGGCCACCTTTAATAAAAAGAAAAGACAAAGTCCTATGGAGAACTATGTAAATTCACAAATGAAGCCAACTGCCAAGAACATGAAGAAACAGTTTGGTTTTTGAGGTGTTTAATCAATTTCTGTGATTTTTATTTACGTATCTTATTTTGTAGATTTTTAGTTCAGATCTATTATTTTATCTGCAAGCACACGTGCACAGGTCAAATTACATACAATTCCTTTAACGTAGCCCAGACAAAAGCCTTTTATACCTGAATAGAACTTACATATTTATTGTTTTTAATTAGTATGTGTCCACTTCTTGATCTGGTTGCATTTTCCATGTTCTCAAAGATTTTAAATTAGCCATGACATTTTAGTTTCTTAATATAGCATTCTAACGCAACGCCAAGTTGTCCCTGTTTAAGTGGAAGGAGGGAATGATCGGTCCACATTAGTTTAAACTTGTTATATTTCTTTAAACGACTATAACAACTGTGTCACAATGCTTTACGGCTGACTCCAAGGGGTTTAACATTTTAGCATTTAACTAGCTGTCAATTACTAGCTTAAAAGTACTGTCAAAGTTAGCCAAAGCGGTAAAAACGTCACATCAAAACTGTAGCGACTATTGAAAAGCATTCCATGCTGAAGCCCATGTTTTCCCCGATGTATTGGTGAGTAACGTATATAATTTTTATCTTTCGAGAAACATTAGAATACGTTTCATATCAGAAAACTGTTGTCCTGCTCATATTGCTAACTAGCAGTATCGTCATCTACTGTATTTTGACAGACAAACAGTGCGTCCAATTAAACTGCTCCATTGGCCATAAGTGCCAATCAGAACGAAGTGAAGGCGGGACTAAACCGCTCTAATGCTTCGAAAACGACGGCAGCAGAGAGGCCCAAAAAGCGAGCTAATGTCAACCTCGGAAATAGTGATGCTCTTTGGATAATGAGCCATATACTTAAGTATCATTTACGCCACCGTAATTAGATTAAACATATACAATAAAAATATAAAATTGTACAAACTTACCCCTTGGTATTCACTATTTCCGCGGTGCGCGCTTTTTTACTGCTAGACACAAATGGCGTACCGTAGCATGAGTTGTGCGTGACGAAGAGGCAGTCTCTTTTCCTGTCAGCTGATCAGATCACGTGAGGCGTTCTTGTTCCGTGGGAAAAAATGAATTGTCTTTACTATTCATTTTCATCATAAACACATTTCATATAACTCACGTGCGTTAATTATGTCAAAATGCACCACTAAAAACATTACAGTAAAATGATTTTAAATAAGTATAAAATGAAAAGGCAAGGCAATTTATTTATAGAGCATTTTTCAAACACAGAGGCAATTCAATGTGCTTTACAATTATCTGTAGGACACATGATATGAAAACCCATTGTCCATATATGTATATGTCGATGGTAGGACATGATATGAAAACAACATAAAAACACAAATTTAAATACACATAGATAGAATTATAGTTTACAGCTAAAGGAGAAGATAGTTACAGGGCAAATTACAGTGGAGATGATGCAGCATAGGGTTGGGGCACATCTGAGGTCATGGGGAAGCTGATTCCATATGTGAGCAGCATAGTAACTAAATGCATCTCCACCATGTTTTGTTCTGACCCGAGGTTCTACCAGCTGATTGTTTCCAAGAGATCTCAGAGCCCTATTGGGTGTATATTCGGGAATGAGATCCGACATGTATTTTGGCCCCATGCCATTGAGTGACTTATAAACTAGTAGGAGCACTTTGAAATCTATTCTGTAGTTTACTGGTAACCAGTGTAACGATCTAAGAACAGGAGTGATGTGCTCCGTTCTCTGAGTTCTTGTTAAGTGAACTCATTGGACTCCTTTAAAAAGCAGCTGAAAACTCACTTGTTCAAGCTGGTTTTGGTGGGACCTTCATCACCCTCTCCTTGTTCTGCTGTCCCTACCTATTCCACCTTCCTCAGGATCCACTGATTTCCCTCTTTTCACTCTCTCTCTCTCTCTTTCTTTACATTTTAAATTACAATGTCTATTTTTTGCTCATTTAAAATATATTTTTAATTATTTTCTAAATTCTTTTTTAAATTTTTACAAATTTTTTTGAAGCGCCTCGTGATTTCTATCTTGAGAGGCGCTATGGAAACGATCTTTTCTTTTTCTTTCTTCTTATAAGACTCTAGCAGCAGCATTCTGAACAAGCTGCAGTTGCTTCACAGCTTTTTTGGAAAGAGCAGTTAGGAGACCATTGCAGTAGTCCAACCGACTAGAAATAAAAACATGGATAAGTTTCTCTAAGTCTGGTCTGGACATGAGACCTCTGACTTGATATTTGATGAAAGTGATAAAATGCTGATTTAGTTATAGCCTTAATATCTCCAGAGAAGCTCAGGTCAGAGTCAATAATAACATCTAGATTTCTAATCTGGATTTTTGTCTTTAAAAAAGCAACAAAAGTGAAACAGCACAAGGCTGCCAACTTAAAATAGCAATATGACAAATTTGTGTGACAGAGAAATAACTCAAACTGATAGCCTACTGTGGTAGATTTCATTTTCAGAGGCACATGGGATGCTGGAATCACAGTTTGCAATGTGAAAAAAAATAACACAATGTTAATTATGAGCAAAACATATGTCAGAGAGACAAAATGTCGAAAACGATTATTTTCTCGTACCAAAATTGTATACTTCTGTAACGTACCAATGTTATTGTTTATGTCTTACGTGTCAATCTTATTGATCATTTGTTATAAATGTAGACAATCTTTAACGCTACACTTATTTCCACTGCTGAACACACCAAACCATTGATGGACTAAAACAGAGTATTTTATTAATCTAATTAAAATAAAATGTCATTAAAGACACTCAGGCCTCAGTCAGCGAGATACATAAAACCGCTGTTGTTGAACGGGCGTAGTTCTTGGGAGTAGTCCTTGGCCAATTCTTAAAAAAAAAAAAAGAAAAACACACTGGACAAAAAACACAAACAAGTTATTAACTAAATCATGCACAGGAAACAAATACATAAATCACAAATAGGCACCGGACCGAAATCAGCCCTGAACCTCGCCATCACTGAGGTGGGCAATATGTTCTCCACGCTGTTCGAGACGTGAAGTCGGCATCAGGCACGTGCTGAGTCAGTGAGCCAGAGCTTCTTTAAAACCGTCGTTGGAGCAGGACCCAAAACAGAACCAGCGGAGACCAAGACGAGGTGTCCCAGTGCGCCGTCACTTGACGGGCCCGAGAGAAGCACACAAAACAGCTGATCTCACTTCACACACACACACACACACACACACACACACACACACACACACACACACACACACACACACACACACACACACACACCTTCTCAGAACATGATGTGTGTATTTTACTTTCTTCATTTGGTCAGCCATTGATCAATCATGACAACCAGTAGCTTTATAAAATGAGTAAAGATGAATTAATTCATGAGCAATATTTTATTAAGTAGTCTGACGGGTCAGGTGATGATAAATGATATTTCCTTAGATGAATATTCAGCTTACTTTTGAATTAATTTACTCAAATTCATCACAGTCCAAGTTATATGACATAAATGGTTTGAAATGCAAAGGTGTCCTCCCTCTTACACCTCCCCCCGTAGGAGTTATCATTCATCTCTCTAATAATTATAATTTCTAAAATGTTGGCTTTGGAAGGGTGTTTCGTCACCTCTGTGCACCTATTTCTAAAATGACTTACATTATTAATTAATATCATTTTTGCATTTATACATTTCTGTTTCCTCTGTATTAACAGACATCCTGTAAAGAAGAAACTAAAATACTAGGAACTGTTTCTAAAATAATTATCACATACAAGATTCTAATTTTTAATTATTAAAAATAACCAAGCAACAGTTATCATCTATGGGTTTGTTCTTGCCCATTTAATACATGATATTTTGAATACAGTTACTTTCTTAATACCTTTGGAATACTTGCGTATTTTCCACTTTTCACTCGAAAGATAAATAAATACATTTCGGGCAACGTGTGTCTCTGCGTTGTGTAGGTTATCTATCCCATAATGCCCCTAATCAATGTGCCTCTGTAACCATAGTAACGCTAGGATGAAACCATGAGAAGGCTACACCTCCGACTAGCAAGCACCAGCGTTAGCATGAGTGGCCAGGTATGGATTCAGACGAGGAGGTGGAGTAGGTGGAGCCACAACCGCTGTCAAATCAACCTACTAGCAGTATAAGAAAAAATGCATTAACTTCCTGGAAATTCTAGCAGTTTTTCACTCTAGAAAAGGAGCGAGATGTGCAAAATCTGACAATGCAGTGCAATCTTTGTCTCCCAGCTAACAACCTACTAGCTGCGTCCTAAGACTCAACACCTAATGTGAAGAAACACCTTGAAGGGACATTCCACCCCAAAGTGAAAATGTATCTGTTATCATATCCCCCAGAGTTAGATAAGTGAGAAAAAAGCATTTTGTGACCAGCGCAGTAATTATCCTGATCCGGCAGCAGTCCATTTGATTTTGCCTAGCATAACAAAAATGGAGTGAATGGGAACTAGTAGCACTTTGTTTGCAAATGACTCAAAAACCATACAAATTGTTCCTGGTGAGCTCAATAATCATGTCGACTGTGTAGCAACAATTTGGTTATTTGTCCACTGTAAGGTCAGAGGTCATCTCACAGAAGTATCCAGGCGGTTCCCCCTGCACTGGTCCCCAAACCAGTAAACACACTGCTCTACAACCTTGTTGCCAAGAAGGAAAGCCACAATAAACCCTTCTCCTGAATTCCCTTATCTTTGCTGGAAGCCAAGCTCTCATGCAGAAGACGAGATTTTCACTTTCTGAAAAAAAATTCATTTTCCTTGAATCAAAAATTGCTTTACAACTTTATAGGTTGATATAATCAAATGTGTTGAATGAACACAATGTTTAAATCCAAAGTGTTTTCATAATGTGTTCATTAATCAATGATAATTTAAAACGAATAATTTTCCTGCAATTGTTCATTTCAAGTCTTAAATGACACCAGATTAATATTTATTGATTTAATAATTTAATCAGAATATTCACACATAATAATATTGTTATTTTTAATGTTTTAGCATTCACTTCACATAAATGTGGAATGACATTTTCACTTCACACTCAGAGAAAACCTCGAAGTATCTGAGTGAAGGCGTGATCGTCTGAGGTATTTTGGTAACGCCTTTTAAACTTGTCAAATCCGGATTTGTCTGGAATTTAGAAATGAAAGATGACAAATACAGGAATCACTTCCTGATTCCTTAGTTCTCCAGCTGCCTCCTGGTTCAGCTGACTGGCATTTTGAACCATCCTCTCTTTTGACAACAAGGTCAAAGCCTCTCTGAAACGCTTGCGAGTGATGTCAAACAACGCCTCAGACGTGGAAGGTCTAACCTGCAGACCCTGGCTGCATCTCATGGCCGGACTAGAAATCTGAATTCAAAGGGAACTGCGACTCTTTGGGATTCCTGTTGCTACGAGGTCTGGTAAACACCACTCTGGCTGCCTTTCGTCTGGACAGCGGAGAGCAACAGTCACACAAAAAGGGTATCGTAGACTCTGCACAACTGTGTCGGATGGTTTTATGAATAATCTCTAGTTTATCAAACCATACAGCCAAACTGATTTTACAACCCAGACATCACAAGATCTCTCAGATACTTACAAGGCTTTGCTAAAACATCTAGTTTACATTCCACCATTGCATTAATTATCTGTTTTCTGTACAACCATCATTTCATTCATACTTTGTCCTGTATAATCATTATTTAGGAAAGTAGAATTATATTAATCTTTATATCTACATACTTGACTCTGTCTGGATTAATATTAAGTGTATATTCCCTGAATAATACAAAGAACCCAGAGTAATTTTAATCACATATTCAAAGATTAATCAGATTCATATTTCATATTTATATGGAATATCA